AATTTTTCTAATTATCCATAACCATATTAAACGTTTAAGAGAAAAAAAATTGTTGTCATTCCAAGTGTACATAATATTTCAAATTTAGAACCCTATAAATACGTAATACGTATAAAAACGAAATATTATGTTCTAAGTGGATTTAATTCGCTACTCTACAGCAGACCACGTGATAACATTTTATGTCTGAATATAACAATATAGTTGCCTGTTTTGGCCAAAGTTATCTGTTAGATATAGGTATAGACAAACGTGGTTTAGGCTCAAAGACGCAATTTTTGTCGACAAATTAAAATATTAAACAATATTCGTGGCGATGTAATATTATAAAATAGGCGTAATATAAGCAATCAAAAAACTTTAGGACACCGTAGCGACCATTACATCATCGTTATCTCGGCACTTAAGGCACCACCTCGAGTGTTTATTTTTTAATTAAAAAAAATAAAAATATATAAGCAAGTAAATTCATTTTGAGAGTATTTTTGTTTTCAGAATGTTCCAAACATAAAATTTCATACACATTCCTCAAAATAACGAATGTACTACCTRCAATACTTAAACATGATAAAATATTACAAAACACTAGTTCATACTACACGTAGGTATATGTATATTATATTTGCGTTAAAACATTTATACATTTAAACATTTAACCATCAATATTTCTATACTTATTAATTATCATTAGTGAATCAAATACATGATAGCTATTTGTGTATTATTTTACAGAAACTGTTATTATACTGTCAGCTGTTTGATTGAAATGAAATTACGTGCACATTTTAGCACGAAAATGTTTCYAAGTGGCATGTTAAATGGCTTTATAACATTATACTAACGTGCGCCTACGTTGAATAGATATAATAAATTCATATTTTATAATATAAATTAATTAGTCTAAATTAAATCATTATATATTAAAATAAGTAAAGTGTGTTTGGATAAGAGCATTTGAACAAAAATCGAAGTACTGTGCGAAGCACCTCAAYTATCCACATAAAAATCTAATATATACATCATTAGTAGGTACATAGTAATATAAAATCAACTTTGATGATAATTTTAGAGGGACACGTGTAACATTGGACTTCGTGTAACACAATATGAAAACATTCAAGTTAGAAAATTCATGAATTGTTGTTCACCTTTAAGCGCATCTACGCGTATGAAAATAGTTATAAAAATTTTATAATTACCGATGTGAACTGCGTAACACGGATGAACCAGAGGGTGAGCGTAAGATTAACGACGACGACGGCCAGCAGACAAGCGAGAAACATATACAGGGCGCGAGTCTTCCACTTAGCCATGGACTTACCGCCAGCCGATAAGTTGTGATTGACTTGAGTGGAGCGATGGCCGGCGCCGGAATTCGGATCGTACGCAGACACCGTGGCACCGGGATTCTGCTGCTGCAGGTGCTGATGATGTTGCTGTGGCTGATTATGAGGTAGTAAAAATTGTTGCTGTTGCTGCGGCGTCGGCGAGTCTGCAACCGCTGACGAATCGTACTCGACGATGTCCGCCGACGACTCGGGCCACTGTCGGTGACCAACGACGACTGTCGTGGCGTTCGCTTCGCCGTCGTTACCGTTACCGTAGTTGTAGTCGTCCATTATGGTTGACGTTCCGGTCCTCCTGTGTCCAAAAATCATGAAATTATACGAAATGTAATTCAATATAAAATGACATTTATGAAATTAAAAATATTTCGGGAATTGACACGGTGTTARACATAGATTATTGGRTGTTATAGTCTAGATTAGCATAGTTAGTTATATATTTATATATTATGTAATATGTTTTATGATATTATATTGTTATTGGTGCACCAACATGTTATTATACACTATTCCTGGATATAAATAGGTATCAAAATACATRAAAAAATACAACTTTATAATATTATATACATTTTAAATTTCCTTAGAAAATTACAGTCTCTCTCAAATATTGCTAATTCAGATAGTCGTTACTTTTACACTAAAATATAGTTATTTTATATTCATTTTATTAGGGATGTTAAAACAGTAAGAAGGGGGTTAAGTATAGATTTTAGTTCAAATTCCTCGACCAACTAAAATCTATATTTAACCCCCTTTTTACTGTTTTAACATCCCTAATAAACAAAATAACACTCCCTATAACTCCTACTCACATAACACACACACACAGTATATTTATTATATATATATAACTCTAAATTAAATTGCTATTGTTATTGTTATTTATTTATAACTAACTTGTTGTAACATGTAATATATTGATACATTTTAATTTTTAATAAATAAAAAAAWAAAATAAAAAAATATTCATTTTTACGTCTCAATAATTCCACTTCAAGTGTTATATTATACGTCACCCTTTTACTAATATCATCACGCTCAAGTTTCAAATTAAAAAAAAAAAATCATGAGAATAGTACAAAATATGCGAGATAGGTTATGTATATAGGTAAAAATACATAGTTATGCCGTTGAATGCGAAGCTTTTCAGTTCTATAGCACTATATATCATTGTTATGACGACATAATCCCATTATTCAGTATAATCATATCTTATCCACCACCTGTTTCAGTGTACTTACATATTATTATCTATCAGACTCATCGATATAGATGAAAATTCTTAGAGTCAGTCCTGATATACGAACAATGTATATTATTGTATACGAGTGCGATAGATACATAAAATACTACGTCTAACCACGTACGATCGACTAACAGATAGGAAATACAATAATAATATGATAAATATTCACGTAAGAAAGTTATATAGGCATGCTGCGATATATATAATATGCATTCAATCATCGTCTTGCGATGGTCGTCGACGAGTGTAAGTCTCTGGCGACGATCAATCACCATCGGCGCAGGTCGTTTACAACCACGATGTATATAATGTATATGATCACTTGGACCGTATGTTATGTAATATTGT